TCTAGCATATGTCGATTTGTAACCCAGGCGGACGCATAAGTAAATATTAGAGTTGTCAACTACGTTGTCTTGAAATGGAACGTTTCACTTTATCAACAGCAATCTACCTTCGCAATCTCTAAGGACTCATTCATCTCAAAACCACAAATGACTGTTCTGCAATAATACATACGGTCATCTTTCGTTCATTTAAACACATTCGGGAACTAAAATCTTATTTCGTCAAATATGGTAAATATTGATAACAAATAATTGAACCCGTGCGTAAATAATAATTGATCTGCATCTGTCTGTGCGTCTTACCGTTCTACTGAATCATTCAAGTTGAAATGTTTCATTCTAATTTAGAATGAAACAAACTATTCAAGATTAATATTACCTATCAACAAAGATATCGACACACACCACGGGCGCCACAGAGTCTGTGCTGATTATTCACAATAATCTCCAGATTTTAATATATTTAATGTTAATTCTTCCCCAATGTCACGATTAGGACAAAATCATACACGAGACCACCGTTCGAAGAGGTAAACTGAAAATCAGGCTATATTAAAAAAAAAAAACAATAAAAGATTGCAGTTGTAATATATCTTAGTCACATTTCATTGTATTGTATCACGTGGGTGGAGATGGCACCGTGACGAACGCGCCCGTCAAACTATCGATGCGCACGTGTGAATATAAAATGTACATGTAACATACGAGAACAGGGACAGTTTCGCGTTAACGAGTTTGTCGATCTAATATATAAACATAGTAAGTAAATCGATTTACCCAACTTAAAGCCCAATTAATGCCAGTTATTTCTAATACATCAGACTGTATATGTTATTACTAAAATCTCGCAAGCTCTTGAACAAATTCTCGCGGGACTATTGTTGTAATGATATAATTCAATCCCACAGGATGACTGGATCACCTCAACCAAAAAAGGTAAAAATTCCGAGAGGCCTCAGCCCTCTAACATGAATTAATATTATTGAAATAGACGAATCTACATCCATGTGATAACTGCCATGCTATTATATTACATTTGATTATGTGCCATTTGAAATCGGGGGAATTGAACCATAGTCCCACACGTACACAACATCCCAGGATTTCACCGACGAATAAAAGGAGATGTCACACTGCTTAAAGCGATTCCATGAAGAAACAAAACTGTTCCAGAAATGCGATCAATAACATGACGCCATGTGCATTATACATGTTCTGTTGTAAATACGTAATATTTAGTAAGGCGAAATTGCGTATATACAAATTCACCATTGAGAAACCTTTCAAGTAAATGACTGTCGCAAGGTATCTTTCATCAGAAATATTTTCACTTGTACAGTGTATACACACGCACCCACTCACGATATTTATATAGTTCACTCAGTACTACCAAGTTATAGAATCTCGGAAAGAATTGGGGTTCCATTTGGGTTGATGATACCGTTAATTACAATTCTACGGCCAAATTTCCTGTTTTTTGACAGTTTGTGTTATAGGATTTCATCAGGGGATTTACTAGAATTAGAACAATCCTTCAGCTAACTTGACGTGGCCAATGACAATATGTTATCGAATCTTCACAATCATGAACGCATGTAGATGGATCACAGATTTTGCTATTCCAATTGGCGTGGTGTGTCTACTCAAAAAAAGATTCGACAACGATTTGTTAAATTTAGAGATATATTTCGTATGACCTTATAGAAGACAATGTTCAAATAAGTTGTGCTGAAACATGGCGATCCACAACACGCATATTGCGAAATACATGCTTTGTTCTCGAATGCACTGAATGGTGGGCTCATCCGGGGCACATATATACACACACACACATCTGGGAATACAAGTGAATATCGAAAGTTGCAATACGATAGAATTATGGGTATAATATCACAGTGTCTTGAGTAGTCGACCTTGGTATTGAATGTATAATACTTTGCCATATAATTGAATAATGGAGAAGATTTCTTTATATTCATAAAGGAAACACGTTTGTGTTTCATGATGATTGGTTATCTGCATATATATACAATATTTAAAAGGTAACTACGTGAATTAACGAATGGCTTTATTGCGTAGCGTATTGAGTACAACGTTAGAAACAATACCACTACCAGTACATATTTTCCCCAAACGACAATGATGTTTATGTTTGATTCAGAATCAAAAGAATGGAACAGACTAATTAAATGTGTTTTTGATCACATCATGAGTGACCTTTAAACCATTTTTGAATTTCATTGACATAAACACAGCTCCACAAATCGAAATAATGTCAACTGTCCCGTACCCCCCAAAGATTGGACTTCATTAAAAAAAAGGAAAAAACCTAAGTCCACTTTATCCGATATGATTTTTTGTACACTGTTCCTTGACATTATGTAACCTGTTATATGAAAAAGTGGGCGAGATGGCGCGACAAAATGAAACACTGTTTGCTGGGGCAAAAACAAGTCACGGTGTTCTCTCGCTTTTAGCGTTATATCAGCGGCCATTTGTTCTTGTAGTGTTCTGAAACATGAAATATCACCATGTATTTAGACTGAACTTGTATGAATAGAGTAAGAGACTACATACAGGGGGATAAAAAAAACGTGTTTATGTTGAGAGAAATACCATGTATATATATACCATAAACAGTTTGCGCGCAGCTGTGGATACCCGGGCGTAATTTAAATTTGGGTAGATTGAAAAAGCGTGTATTTACGGGAAATGAAATGTTATTATATACTTATATTAGTATATTAATTTATCGTTTCGCTCCAGAAAGAAAATATTGCCACGTTATTAGTTTAAGTTAAAACAGTCAAATCTGACATACTCCGATAGTTTATAACAAAAACACACATTAATTGTAATAGTTTATTATCGAAGGTATTATCTAACCGGCGTGAGCGTTCACTTCACGTCACTGGTCTATGGGGACTATTTTGATTTATGCCCGCGGCAGATCACAGTGCGAACTGCAATTACAAGGAAATGTATAAACCAATTATTTTTTCCAAACTATTTCCGCATTTAAAATTTTGATTAAAATGGTGACATTTCGATCTTCAAGTTTTTTACCTGAACGGAATGTGCCGATTAAATGCGTCCATAAATTATTTAGACATTTAATTTGAATTTGGATTTTGACCTCCGCCCCGCTTGTAATTTGTCGCCCCCGGGGACTAGCCATGCTGATGTCAGGAAATTAGCATAGTGGCGGGCTATATGACGTTGAATTGATGTTATTATTGGTAGATAACGAGGAGACAAAAAATGTTTTGACTCGTGACAAGCAAATTAAGTTAGTGTTTCCAAACAATGAAGCAACGCACAGCTGTGTATCTACTACAGAAGAATTGGTCTATTATTTTGTATTTATTTATTATTTTGCGCAGAAATTGCGAATTTCTATCAATTCAAATTAAGCCGGAAACATGCTCGACTGGCCGTCTGCGTCAAGCAAGTTCTCAAGTTGTTTACGCATGTGGTCTTCGTGCATAAGCATTGCGTTCAACTCATAATTATATAAACCAAGCTAGCCATGCATATATCGTTCAAGTAATATTGGAGGATTTGGAACTTACGACACTAAATTTCAGTATCATATATAAATTAATTGGTACATAAAAAATTACCAGAGGGCGGTCATATCAAATTAAATGCGCATTCCTGCATGGTGAGAACTGCTCTCATTTTGAACTCCGTCAGCGATAAACATAATATGCACTTACGAATGTGTATATGACGTCACTGTTTTCAGTAGATATATCGCATTCGAAGTACAATTACCGGTTATATTAGGTGATTATTTTTGTTTTCTGTTTCTTTTTTTTATTTTTTATTTTTGCAGTAGATATATTCGTAAATATGTACAGTTTTTATTATAATAGCTACCTTCTCTTGATTTTTCAATGTTTTCGTGCAACTACATGTGACGTTAGCTAGTGTGTCCCATGCTGGTAATCGCGATAATACAGTGCGAAACCATCCTTTCTTTGAAATGTACATCATGGACGCTTATCTGACATCATCCAATAAACTACAAGGACACAGTTACAGAGGGTAATTAAACTGAATAAATGCAAACTGTTAAAGGGACGCGCCGTCACACAATAGTGAGTTTGGGATCACCCTAACACGATATTGTGTTTCGCTGGTTATCAGACAACCAGTACGTGAGTGATCGAACGGCGCACCACGCTTCTTAGAAGATACAATGCAGCTAAGGGGGTAATACGCACACAATGTGTGTTTTATTTCAATCGGATCCGTTAAGGGAAGCAGTATGCGAAAAGGGACGTCGACCGTCAGTGTTTGAAATGCTGCTGATTTGTATTGTAATAACACAATTGATGTGACGATAACAAACATAATAGACCTTTTCTATCATACGTAAATGCGAATTAACTGAAAAGTGACCGAAATCATTGAACAGGGATGTTATCGGTTCAATTAATGAAACCCGGGCTTCACGCGAAAACGCAGGCAGGATTATTATAAACGAAATTTAGGCATATCATAATTATATATGGTTTGGGGTGTGCAGTGACGCCGATGTATATGCATGCCGTGAGCGCGGGTGGGGGTATTATACATAACCAGTTCACCGGATCGGCCTTTCTCTCAGGCTTCCATTTATGTTTTTTTTGCGGTTCCTGTTACGATCGCCTGAATAGCAGCAGTAGATTTAGACGTTGTAACATTGTGGGTGATAAAAAAAAATCTCAGATATAATAGGCCACTATCATTACTATGCTACAATACTTATTTAAAGTGCAACGTATGTCGAAAGCATGGAACTGCCTATTTACGCCACCGTTCCGCCTCATTTGATGTTCGCCGCCCGACGATAACCAGCGCATACGAAAATAGCTGTATTACCGTATTAGACATATATAATAGAGTGAATATTACGATGATATATAATAAAAAAGGGGTATTGATGGATTTTTTTTGAAAGATAGGTGATCAGTCATAAGAGCTGAACTGATGACTGGATCACCGATACTTACTCGGTATACATTGCTGCTTAACACTCCCATATTGGCGGATAAAATAGGCACAGTGAGATACCTGGAGACAAGTGAAATAAGACGATTAGCGATATATGAATCCCTATACTCTTCTCCGTCAATGGCTGCAATTATCGACGTAACTCCCATTGGAAGAAGCATGTTGCACACATTTTTGACAATATCTATATGTTCGCTGGCATTGACGTAGGTCGCCGAGAGCTGCACAGAAATCAAGGAAGAAAAATTGGAAGTCGCCTCCCATTCGGCGAGACGTTGGCGTATTATCTCCTCGTGCCGGTTGTTGGTTACAATAGCACCAAGCCGTATCGTGTCTTTCCATGTGTCATTGGCCTCCACCAGATTGGCACGTTGGCCCGTCTGCGATGATGTGGCCAGCGCCAATGAAGCAATCTGCCCGATAACGAGCAATAGGAACAGAACTCGGTGGCCGTGTTCTCTCCCATCAGTAGTCCGCTCCATAGTTTCACGGTGACGAGAAGACAAGTTCCGGTACTGGCCACAACGCAGCGCTTTTCTTCCGGAGACACATATACATTCGGCAGTCCTACGGTGGAATCGAGCTCACCTGCGGCAGTAGTAGCGACACACTCGCACAAAAGAGCAAACACGGGAAGTTAGAAGCCGCATCACTGAACGGTGGAAGGTTTCCATTGGAAATCTGTAATAAAGAGAACGAACCATTTAAGTAAGTAGGGGTGGCCGACCGGAAATCACAGGGGGACGATTTTGGATTGATCATTAAAAACAGAATTTGAATCATGCCCGCCAGCTCGGTATCACGTTTTCACTGCGGATTACGTTGTATTTTCTAAATCCATCACTATACTACACAGAGGTAATGACGTCCTATGGGACTGTATTATTTGATACACAATCGCTTTGATGCCCGGACACATTTCATGATCCCGCAGTGCATTTGCAAGCTCATCTCGCCGATTCCAAACCGAAAGAATGCTTATGTAGGAAGAAATAACAGTAGATTTTATTAATTCTTCAGTTATTTTTTTCCGTCGTGGATTCATTTCTATGAGATTTAGTATCACATTATACATAAATGCCTCGATCATGTACAAAATGACATGAATTGTAAAAACGATAAAATTTAAAAATGTATAAATAAATAAATAAATAAATAAATAAATAAATAAATAAATAAATAAATAAATAAATAAATAAATAAATAAATAAATAAAT